CGGCTCCCGGCGGCCGCGGCGCCATGGACCAGGCGGTGGGTGACCTGAAGCAGGCGCTGCCCTGTGTGGCCGAAGCGCCGGCCGTCCACGTGGAGGTGCTCCAGCGCGGCGGCAGGTGAGCCGGCCGCGCGCCCCGGCCAGCTGGCGCCTGCGACGGCCACACCCGCAGAGCTGTCGGTCCTCGGGGAAGTGTGGGTGATGTCCTTGGAGCCAGCACCCCTCCCCAGTTCCCCCGACGGCCACTCCTGTGGCCGGGCGTCCCGTCGGTCCGGAGTGACCCCTCGTTAGCGCCTTGGGGAGGGTCCGGCACGGCCGTGTCCGCCTTCACCGGCCCTGAGGGGCTCTGAGCAGAATGTAAAAGTGACTGGTGGCCCTGCGTGGCGAGCTGCGACGACGCCGGGAAGGCACACCTGGTGATCTAGAATGGCCTGGCCTGGACCACGAGGTGGGCCGAGGGGAGCCGTGGGGCCATCAGCAGGGCTTAGGTTTTCTCAGTGGGCTCCCAGGTCTGGCACGTGTCAAGGCAGAGCCCTGACCTGACTCCATGGCTGTAGGAGGGGTCCTTCTTCCTTAATGATAGTATAGCCGGGTGCTGAGTACTTTACTGCCCGGCCCATTGCCCTGACTCTTGGAACGGACTGACCAGTTTGCATGGCAGCCACTGTAGCAAGAACTCCTGCTGCTACCCCCCGTGTGAGGGACAGCCGTGTCCCTGCCCTCAGCCTGCTCCCTGAGGTCGCACTGCCAGCAGGCCCACCCCTCTCGTCCTGTAACTGATGCATGTTCTCATACGTGCCCTGATTTTTGTTTTTTTAACTGTTAGTATCTCGTTTTTCAGTTTAGAACTGATGTGTGTTGTGTGTTTGCCTAGCACTGCTAAGAAAGAAGACATAAAGCTGAGTGTCAGAAAGCTGCTCAACAGACATAACATTGTGTTTGGCGATTACACATGGACAGAGTTTGACGACCCTTTTCTGACCAGAAATGTGCAGTCTGTGTCTATCGTTGACACAGAGTTAAAGATTAAAGACCCACAGGTATGCAGCTAATTCCCAACGCCCAGCAGCACTTCAGTTTTAGCCGAGCAGGCGCCCTGATCTTATAGGTTTCCTTGGTTTTTGCTCCTTGTCACAGCCGATTGATCTGAGCGCGTGCACTGTCGCGCTTCACGTCTTCCAGCTGAACGAAGAAGGCCCCAGCAGTGAAAATTTGGAGGAGGAGGCGGAAAACATAATTGCGGCGAATCACTGGGTTCTGCCAGCAGGTGCGTGCGACAGTCGCAGCAGGGTGAGCGTGCCGTCTGCCAGGCCGGGGCACGGCGCGTGCTGCGGGCTTGCCACGTCCGTCCACCGAGGAGGCTGTGTCCGCTTGTTTAGTAGGATTTTAGGGCGTTTTCTGACATGGAAAGTATACCGCAAAAGGGGAAAGTAGAGATTTCCTTTGGACGGGTCCCTCACAGATGGACGAGGTGACTGTGCTCTTCTTCCCTGCCCCAGCGGTCAGGCCTGCTCGACCACTCATTCCTCTTGCCTTCTTCATGCTTCTTCGTGGACTTGCCAGCAGGTTGTAGCAGACAGAGTTCTGGGGTCAATTCAGTCATCAGGTTTCACGCGTGACGTCCTGATGCTGGACCTGAGCGGCCCCTCTGCCCTGCCCCACGCATCGGCCTGTGGGGCGCGCAGCATGTGCTGTGCGAAGGCACAGGTGTACAGGACAGTTGCGCCTAGTACCGTGACAGGAAGGTACCTCTTTCCCAGTTACTTCTCTGTCGGAGGTCCTTTGGACCTGGCATTTATTCTGCATCTGTCATTTTTTTAAGTAAAAATTTTGATTTCTCAAACTGAAACTTCTTTATAAACTGAACTCTGTAATCAGAACCTTCGCCTAGCACGCATGGAGCCATGGAGAGCGTCGCGTCGGCTCTAGACAGGTCCAGCGGGGAGGCGTGACGCTTGCTTTCCTAAAGTTAGGTTTTTAATTTCTCTGACAGCTGAATTCCATGGGCTCTGGGACAGCCTGGTGTACGATGTGGAAGTCAAATCTCACGTAAGTTGCACTTTCTTCCCCAAGGCCCCGTTATCTGGAGTAGAATCATTGCCGTGTCGCTCCAGCACCTCGGAGCCCTTTGACTCGATGGTGCTTTGGAGACCTGCTCGCTGCCAGGAGCTCGCATCCTGGACGTCTGTTCTCTGGGGTTTCTCCCAAGTGGAGGTGGTTTCTGGAAAATCCCCTGAGGGGAAGAAGGAGGGTGCAGAATATGAAGACAGCTTCAGTTGGGTTTCACCCTTGGAAACCCATCGAGGTGGAGGGGCCGGCACCACGGGGCAGACAGCAGGTGGGCAGGATGGAGCAAGCACTTCTGAGCCGCCTTCAAGGAGAAGGGGCCTTCTGCATGCTGTGGGGGACACTGAAGTTCGTACCGCATCCCCCGTCTGCACAGGCTGCTCTGGGCACCGCAGGAAGACACAGGCTGCTGTCACCTTCGGTCAGTGTGCCGCGTGCTGCCCACTGCCGCGCTGGCCCTAGGGATGGCATCTACTCCTACCTGATACGTCCCTCAGGCTTTCTTGAATAAGTGTCTGTGTTTATCTTTTGTGCCTCCAACAGTAACGGCCAGTGCCGAATCGCGTCGTTTCAAGTTCTCTCATCAAGGAAGTGGCGGGGGCGGTCGCTGCGGGACACTCACGAGGGAGCACGCTTGGGGGGACCTTTGCCTGTCGGCACCTTTATCTGTGTTTTCCTTTGTCCCCACAGCTCCTCGACTATGTGATGACAACGCTCCTGTTTTCAGACAAGAACGTCGACAGCAACCTCATCACCTGGAACCGGGTGGTGCTGCTTCACGGTAAAGCTCGCGGGGTCCCGTGTGACAAGACCAACTGTGTGACCAAGGCTTTGCCCATACCTCTGTCCTTCAGCGAGGGGTTATAGCGCTTTCGTCTGGAGGGGCCGGTGTCCTAGAATGCTCCTCCGTGAAGCCAGAGTAGCTCACGTTGCCGTGGGCGTTTGCTGCCTGACCACCTGCCTCTGCCATGTGGCTTTTTCCGATAAAAAACTTTTCAGTTGACTCTTATTTCTCCAACTGCATAAACTCCTTGGGCTAGAAATTGTCTCGTGTTTCTTAGAGCTTCACTTCGTGAGTAGTAAACTATAAAAACTGCCCTTTACAGAGATTCTGTCTACTTCTCAGAAGAAGGTGGTGGTTATTTTTCTTAGCGTCACTGCATGGAAAGGAACCCAGGATACCCGAATTATGGTGAGGTGGGAGCTGAGTAACTAGCTTTTTGTGTCGGTTAAGGCTGTACGCTTGTGTACAATCTTGAAAGAAGTTGTGTCTAAAAAGCAGCTACCCCAGCACGCTGTCGTGACATCAGGGCCAGAGTTAGCAGTCGATAGGTATTTCAATTAGTGAACTAAGTTATTTCCCATTTTGTATTTGTTACACGTTTCCTCTTTAGTTATAGAAAACGTTTGCAGAAAATCACTCGAACGTGTCAGCATTTTCTTTTCGATGCGTTTGTTCTACATCGGTCACTTCAGAGCTTCTGTAAGACCTTCTAGGTGACATAGCAAGAAGCCATACAAGCAAGGGCCCTCACCTTAGCCCTCTGGTTTGGTACAGGGTGCAGGCCGCATAGAAACAGCTGTGCTGGGGACGGTGCTGCTTGCGGTGGGCCGCGGGCATGGCACGCGTCAGTGCTTAAGAGGCTTGATGATCATCGAGAGGTTTTAAAGGAGCCTTAACGAGTGGATTTCACAGAGGACAGGCAGGAGGCTGGCGGTGAGGGTGGAGACCAGGAAATGCAGTGCTCACTCTGGGAGCTGAGCAAGCCCCTGGGCCCAGGGCCAGGCTCGTGTCCGGGCAGCGGAAGCTAAGGCCAGAAACACAAGTTGAGTTCAAATTAAAATGTATCGGTGACATTTTATGGCACTTCCGCTGCCAGCGGTCTTCTTTGTGAGTTAACAGCTTGCCTGTGGTGACAGCAGTCAGAGCATTGGATTCTGCTCCTTACTTTGTGTTTCGTGAAAACTCAACTGCCACTATCAAGAAGTCTGTCGCAGCCCTGACCCACACACTTCTGCTTGGATCTTGTCACAGGCCCTCCGGGAACTGGAAAGACCTCCCTGTGCCGAGCGCTGGCCCAGAAACTGACCATTCGACTGTCAAGCAGGTAAACTTGGTGGTCTGTGGAGGGGCACGGCAGGACACTGTCCTCACCTCCTGCTCATCCCAGCGGAAGCTGCATTGTTTGGTGACGTTTTACATGAGTAGGTCCCTCTCTTTCGGTGTAGACTGACCGATATCTCTATGCTCAGCACAGTCTCGAGTTAGGATTTTGATCCTTTTAAATTCGTGGAGACTTGCTCAATGGCCAGCGCGTGGTCTGTCCTGGTGACTGTCCTATGTGCATTTCAGAGAGCGCGCGTCTGCTCTCGGGCAGGGTGTTCGTGGCGTCAGCTCAGGGTGCTTGATTTCGTGCCGAGCCAGTTGGTCTGCTGTTCTGTCGCTTTCTGGGGAGGAATGGCCAAGGCTCTAACGGTGGATTCGGCTGTTTCTCCTTGAGTTGCATCTGTTTTGGGGTTTATGGTTTCATCACATTTGGAAAATAGTTGCCCTTTCTTTTCTCAGCTAATTTCCCTGCCCCCACCCTTTTCTTGAGAGCGCATTCATTTGCACGTTAGCCTGCTTGGCAGTGTCCCGTGGGCCGCTGACGTGCTTTTTTGTTTCCTCAGGTTTTTAAGTTTTTCTTTTTCATTTTGGATGGTTTTCTGTAGTATCTAACTTGCTTTTAATTCCATTCAGTGAAAGTTTCATTTCTGATAGTGTATTTTCCGAGTTCCCATTTGGTTCTTTTTATACTTTTTATTTCTCTTACCATCATGTTCTCGTTAAAATCCTCAAACAAATGAATAGTAGCCGTTTTAACGTTCTTGTTGACCAAATCGTAATTATTATTTTTGCGTCTTTCTGTTGGCTGGTTTTTCCTCTGGTTACGGGTCACGTGTTTCTGGGGTTGGCATGTCCAGCAGTTTTCGGCTGGAGTAGACATTGCGATTGGTAGGGTCTGGGTTCTCTAAAGACTACTGGCCTTTGTTCTGGTAGGGATTTCAGCTCCTCCTGATGTGGTGTGATCCTTTTGAACTTTATTTTTAAGTTTCGTTAGGGGTCTGGGTGTCGTCTAGACTTCTCAAGTGTGGCCCTCCTGGGTCCCATTGGAACACCTTGAGTGTGTAACAGGCACTCTCTGCTTTGGCCGTTGGGGACAGGGACACACCCAGCCTGTGCAAGTGCCTGAGCCACACAGCTCACAGCCCGAGGAGCCTCCTGGCCTCCCCTGCTCATCCACGTCCAAGTTCAGCGAAGACGAGAGGGAGCCAGGATGACTTCTGGCAGTCCACCCCCGGGACGCTGCAGGCTCCAGCGGCCTCAGGCTTCCTTACCTCTTACCCCTGTCTCCAGCTCGGCACGGTGGCCAGGCTCTTCTTGGGTCTTCTCCAGGTGCTCCAGGCAGAAAGCTGGGGCGACTGCAGGCCTCACCTCATTTCCCTGCCCGGGGCGCAGTCCTCCAGCACCTGGCGCCCTGCGCCCTTCGCGGATGCCGCTTCGTTGATTCCGTCCGGTTTTCTCACTGATAAGGCAGAGGGTGAATCTGGTACCTGTTACCCCAGTCTGGCATAGGAGAGGCGATCCTATGACATTTACTTTTAAATCTTTTCAAAATGTCTTGTTTTTTTGCATAGAGAAGTTGCTTTATTTCAGTCCTTTATTTTATGTGGCACCTTGGCCTTTGTCTTGACATATAGAGACACACCTACGTTTTCTAAAGATCTCTAGAGGCAGTTTCCTAAAACACCGGAGAGTGAGGCTCTTATTACCAGAAATACAGTTTTTTTCAGTACAGTCACATGCAGCATAATGACGTTTCAGTCACCAACAGACCGTGTAAGGTCCCAACGGAGCTGAAACAGTGCTGTCTCCTAGTGACTTGGGCCGTGGTACGTCGGAGTGCAACACGCTGGTCACGTGTCTGTGGTGACGCCGGCGTAAGCAGGCCTCGTGCGTGAGCTGCCAGTCGCACGTACAGCTGTGTCAGTACATGATACTAGGTGACGAGGATGAGCGACCGCACGCATTACTGGCTCGTGTATTTACTGCACTCTCGGTCACTGCTGTGCCGTGTCCTCGCGACTCAGAAAAGTCCGCTGTGGCAGTCGTGGCAGCCTGGTGCTCACCCCGTCTCGGCATCGTTTTCTCGTGCTGATACAACCCCGTCTGGTCTCGGTGTCACCTGCTGTCCAGGCTGGTAGCCCAGGTGTGCAGTGGGCTGTACCAGCCAGGTGTGTATACGGCCTCCGTGATGTTCACACATCACCTGGCCATGCTTTTCTCAGGACGTGTCCCCTTTGTTAAGGGACATGTGACTGTACAAAGACCTGGAAATCTTGTGGCTTAGAAATGGCAAAAGGAAACCTCAGCAAGCCTTTATTACTCACTTCATTTAATAACCAAAATGCGTTATGATTAACTTTGTTTAATATTCAACCTAACCCTTATTTTGCTAGGTTGTCTGTCTCCCGTTTCTCGTCTTTTGTAAACAGAATTAGTAAATGGTCTTTTCCCTTTGGTAATAGAAAGTCAGCGATGCTTTATTTTATTGAAGTTTTTTCGACTTTGTGTACAAAGAGCTAGCATCGTTTCTGCGGTAACGTGGCGTCGTGACCATCCGCTTAGTGCAGCTGAGCGACGCCTGTGCCACCTGCACCCCGACAGGAGATGCTGGCTGCACACTGAGGCTGTGTTTCCGGACCAGACTGTGCTGGTGTGACAGGCGTGGCGAGAACCAGAGCCTGGCCCAGGGTTCTCAGGTGCCGCCGGCCGTCGTGGTGACCTGTCTCGCTCTCTTGGACGCAGCCAGGCAAAAGGAAGGAGTCGATGATACTTTCTGAACGTCATTCTTTTTCTTCTGTGGACACGAGAGAAACTAGAGGCCCTGGGAGTCGGCTTCTGTCCGCCTCAGTCTGGACCCCCGTTTGATTCGTGTCAGGGCCGAGTGCGTCCACATCTCCCGGCCGCCTCCTGAGCCACCCGTGTCGGGCGCACTGCGCCTGTCCGAGGTGCCGGGCTGCAGTCGCCAGTGTTTGTGCTGTCACGTGCTCGTGTTTTGTGGAAGGAGGAAAAAATGTTCAGCTCCTGCCAAAACTTGTGATGCTTCTGTTTTGGTTTGTTTGCCACGTTCGTATTGGTAACGCTTTTTAAACTGAAATGCAAATTGCGAGTAGATTAAAAGCAAAAGAGCTTGTACTCTTTAATCCAAGCGAAGATATCTTTCAGTCTGAAGAGCTTAATTCGCATCAAGCAGAGCTGTCGGTTGCATCCTGTTAGATTTGTCACGCTTATTTAACGTGCAGGCTGCTAGGTACCTGGATTCTTTGTCAGTAATTATAACAAGTGAGTCATTCTCAACATGCTGGGCAGTTGAGATGCTGTGTTAAAAGCGGAAATGCTGCCTCTGGAGAAGCCGGGGAGAGCTGGTTGGCGGAGTAATTATTAATCACCTTCGCTCTTTTTTGTTTTAGGTACAGATATGGCCAGTTAATTGAAATCAACAGCCACAGCCTGTTTTCTAAGTGGTTTTCAGAGGTAAGTGTTAATGTTAATTCTGTCCTCAGGGCTGTTGACCACATAGTTGGGAGGTGTCCTGTGCATCAGACAAACTTTCCATGGGGCCGACCATGTGGCCAGAGCCACACAGTAACTCAGACCTTCCACTGGGTGGGACAGGGCATTCTGCATGACCTGAGGGGGCGGGGTCCTGAGTTCCATCCTGGTCACACCCCTCAGCTGAGCATGCTCTTGGGGCTCTGAGCCTGCTGCCACCGATGAACCCAGGAGCTCAGCAAGGTGACGTCACACATGCCTCTGACCTCTAGAGGGCTGGCAGCTGTGTCAGTGGATGGGAGTGGGGACAGGAAGGATCCATAATGGGTGTGCCCAGCGGGTTCGCCTGTGCGCGCCCATGACCCATCTCGTTCCTGTTCGTGAGGACAGCTGGAAAAGGGAGGACGGAGGAGGCAGATGGAGCGCATGGCCTTGGGCTGGGGTCAGTGCAGCTCGAGTCTCGGTGTCCTGGCGCGTGGAGCAGGGAGGGGACATTTGGATTGCAGACCTCGTTTCTGTGGTTCAGATTGTTCTCCGAGGGCCGTCAGGAGACGGTGGGCTTGTGGGGCCACTTGGGGTCAGAGCAGTGCCAGGCAGGGACAGTGGGCACATGTGTCCACCAGGCAGCATGACGAGTGCAGGCCGACACTCAAAGTGTGTTTGGTTCCAGAGTGGCAAGCTGGTGACGAGGATGTTCCAGAAGATCCAGGATCTAATCGACAACAAGGACGCTCTGGTGTTCGTGCTGATTGATGAGGTAGGCGTGTGCGGACATCGGACCTGGGCCTGCTGAGGTTCAAGACTGGATCGCCCCTTACTGTTGCCGGGGCACGGCCTGCCCCCTGCCCAGTCCCCTGTGTCACACACCGTGTCCTTGGCATCCCACACGCTGAGCGCGCGCCGCATACCCGCTCGCTCGCTCCGTTGGCGTGCCCTGTCCCGCGGGGCCAGCATCACACTTTCTGCTCGCCTCTCCGTTCCCACAGGTGGAGAGCCTCACGGCCGCCCGCAACGCCTGTAGGGCGGGCACCGAGCCTTCAGATGCCATCCGCGTGGTCAATGCCGTCCTGACCCAGATCGATCAAATCAAAAGGTAATAGTCACGCTGTGAGCAGTGGGGGCGTGTCCTGCAGAGGGTGTCATTACGTGCCTTTATCGTGCGAGCCTCACCCTGGAGGGGACAGCCTAGCTGGGCTGCCAGCCTCACAGCATGGACTGTCGTGAGTACCGCAGGCAAGTGTAACTCCTGGCCCCGTGGGACACGTAGTCGTGTGCCTAGGCAGAGAGGAGGAACAGTATAAACACGGTGTAAAAGTTAGCGTGTGCACGCGCGCGTGCGCGGAGGTCGGGGGCAGCAGGGGGCGCTGGAGAGAAGGGAGAGGAGCAGGCTGCGAGGTGCTCGCTCTGCATGCGTGAGTGTGCGCGTGTGAGCAGGGCGCATGGCTCCGACCGCGGCAGGTACCTGAGCCTCCCTGTCTGATGAAAGCCCCGGAGATGGCGTGGGGTCGACAGGCAGCCTCTGCTCGACACCGCAAACCCGCCTTCTGCTTCTCCCCCGTCGTGGTCGTTGGGACCCGCAGCGCACGCGCTCTCTGCTGTGGACGTGGCTGTAAAGGCTCTGACCACGAGCCCTTACGCGAGAGGTCCCAGAGGGGAGCGAGGGTCACCGACTCCAGCCGTCACTCAGAGCGTCTCTGGCATTGGCTGCTGGCTCTTTTTCCACTTTCGAGGTGGCACGTGCTAAACACTTTTTAAGAATTCAGCGCTTTCCTTTCCTGAAGTGTTAAAACGGAAAACAGCTTGGGCTCGGTGAGCGCTCAAGCCGCTCACGCCGTCAAGGGGCGTGAGAGGGAGAGCGAGCACGGCCGTGCTCGTGCCTTGGTGCTGCACGGCCGCGGGGCAGGCCCAGGGCCTGTGCTCCGTGTCCCCAAAGCTAGTCCAGCTGTAGGGAGTGACTCCTTACGAACCTGACTCACGAGGCAGCGCTGTCCAAACCAGAACCCCACCTGCTCTTCGCGGGACTTCCAGCCCCGCCAGCCAGAGCCGTGCTTGCTCTCCAGTCTCTGCTGCCCGCCGCTGGACAGCATCGCTCAGGCGGGCATTCGAATGGAGACGGCAGCCACCTATGTCCTACTGAGCGCCACTGTCCCCGGCCTTCACTGCCGTTCCCCACTGGAGCACGTCTGGCTTCTCGGGAGCGGGTCGACTGCAAGAGCCGCTCGGTCCTCGCCCCGCTCCTGCGGGCAGGCCTCGCGGGAGGGGCGGCCCGCCCGTTGCTGCGCGGGGCCCCTGCGTGCTCCTGGCCTGGTCTCCACCCCTGCCACTGCCCCCCCTCTACCCCAGCTCTCAGTCCTCCCTGGAGTTTCCCACGGCGTCTGACTCCCACCCCCTCCTCTGCTTGTTCCTGCTGCCGGCGTTTTCCCGCCGTCTCTGCCGGGGCCCTGCACGGCCTGGGCACAGCTCTCTGTCCTCTGGTGTCACTCACAGTTCCGGTGGGGGAGTCCCTGTCACAGACCTGCATGTCCACTGTGACCACACGGCGGACACGCTTCCGGGCTGCTCATTCGGCCCTGAAACCCCAGCTTTCTGGGTTCCCGCGACACTGATGTCCCTGCCGTGCACCCACCGCTCAAGGCGGGACGTGTGGTCACCCTGACGCTCTATCACTGGGGGGTGGGCTCGGGAAGGAGAGACACACAGACCTCTGCTCTCATCTTCCTCGCTCCACACTGCATCCCATCCTGGTGCGGGCCCCTCTGCGTGGCCCTCGCACACCCACCCGCTTCCTAACCGAGCCCACGCTGGGACGCGCCTCACCCCACCAGGCTCCTCTGCGTGCCCGCCCAGCCTCTGCCCCAGCCCGTCTGCCAGCCCCTGGGGCCCACGTGCTCCTGCCTCTGCCCTCACCCGGCTCACCCTGCTTACCCGCTGCCAGAGCCCAGGTAGGCCGATGCTCCAGGGGCCCCGCCACACAGCCGCCTGTGGCCCGTCTGAGCCGAGCGTGGGCCGAGGGCAGCGCTGCCACGTCCCTTGTGCCCCAGCTGAGCAGCACACTCCCCTGGGCACCTCACGCCAGCTCTGGGCCAGCCTGTGCCAGCCTGTGCCGATAATGGCCCTCCTGTGGAGTTGAGAAGCTAGAGGGGAAAGCGGCCGGCAGGTGGTGAATAATTCAGCTCCACGGTGTGTCGGGGTGATGACAGCTGTGCGACCAGCAGTCGTGTGGCTGTGGGTGCTGGGGCTCAGGAGATGGGGCCGTCAGGGACACCGCAGAGATGAGAGCTTCGCCACAGGTGAAGGTGTCGAGGGGACCCTCCGTAGGCGTCTGGGAGCGCTTCCTGGAAGGCCGAGGGACGAGCGGAGCAGATGCCCTGCAGTGGCGTGCTGCGCGGGGCCAGGAGCTCGGGGCGCGGGGCCACGGGGGCTGCGTGCCAGTATCGGGACAGGGAGTGCAGCCAGCTGAACGATGGCGCCTGGCGCCTTCAAGGGCGTCTCTCCTGACACCCCTTGTGGCTGGGGCGTGATCGAGGCACAGGCCCGGCGTGACTGGCCCTCCCTCCACCTGCAGACACTCCAACGTGGTGATCTTGACCACCTCCAACATCACGGAGAGGATCGACGTGGCCTTCGTGGACAGGGCCGACATCAGGCAGTACGTCGGGCCGCCCTCTGCCGCGGCCGTCTTCAAAATCTACCTGTCCTGTCTGGAGGAGCTCATGAAGGTACCTCGACTTCCTTCCTCTCTGCCGGTCAGTGGGGTTCGTGTATGTTCTTCATTCCCCAGCACAGCTCAGGACACAGCTTCATTCCCCAGCACAGCTCCAGCATGCGGTGAGGGGCTTCGACATGGCCTTACCTGTCTTTTTGGGTTAAAAGTGATTTCAGCCATATGTGGCAGGTGGAGCTAATAGTCAGAATTATGGCCAAGGACTCAATGTTTCTGCCCCTTTGCTACAATATGATCGTCAGGCTTTTACCTACCTGCAGGTGGTGAGTGAGTAGGAGGGGCGTGGCCCGCGCAAAGCGAGTCCTGGTTCTTGTGGCATTTGCAGGTGACCCGCTTCCTGGGCCTCACGTTCCTCCCCTGAAAGAACAACAGTAGTGGTCCTGGTTCACTGGGGCCATCCTGACCGGAGGTCATGGTTCACTGGGGCCATCCTGACTGGAGGTCATGGTTCACTGGGGTCATCCTGACTGGAGGTCATGGTTCACTGGGGTCATCCTGACTGGAGGTCCTGGTTCACTGGGGTCAGCCTGACCAGAGGAAATAGTTGACAGGAGTCATCCTGACCCAAGGTCATGGTTCACGGGGGGTCATCCTGACCAAAGGTCATGACTGGAGGTCATAGTTCATCAGAGGCCAACCTGACGGGAGGGCGTAGTTCACGGGGGTCATCCTGACCGGACGTTGCAGTCACAGGCGCCATTGGCTGCAGTGTTCACGTTCCTGTGGTCCTGGGCCCTGCGACAGCGTCGCGCACAGCAGCCGTGAGTGCGGAAACGTTTGTTCTCTTGCAGTTTAGTCCAACAGGGACTTGCCACGTGCCTGGTGCCAGGGGCTCTGGGTACTGGGGACAAGGGCAGTAGCCAGGGCAGTAGCCAAGCCAGCCAGCAGACGGGCGTGCACACAGCGATCATCGTAATGGCATCGCCGTGGCTGCTGGTGAGGTGGGGTCGACGACCCCCACAGCCCCACCTGGCATCGTGGATCTGGGCCAGCATCCCCGACAAGGACGACGCAGCAGCTGGGCCGGCGTGCACACACCGCCTGGCGTCTCCATGGTCTGGCAGAGGGAGCGCGGCCCCGTGGGGCTGTGGCCCGTGGCGATGCCGTGGTGCAGTGCTGCTGGCTGGGAGCCTGGGTAGTGGCGAGTGCTGCTGTGGTGACATGCTCACGCTGTGCTGTGAACCGGGGGTGCTCAGCCACGTGCACAGACGTTGGGAGCTGAGCACACGGCCAGGGGGAGCTTCTTAGTTCGTAACGAGTTAGGCATTCTGATGCTGTTGTGGGGGGTTGGCCGGCCCTGACCTGGAGGCCCTCAGCATGTGACAGTGGCCTTGTCAGTCGGCATCTGGCTGTCTATTGTCCACACGCCTGCTGGACGGCGCCTGTCCATAGATGGGCAGCTGGGGCGGCCCTGGGGAGGCGCAGAGAGCCACTGGTGAGGTCAGAACACACCAAACAAACCTTGCCTGATTTTACCCACAACCCTCTCAGAACCACCAAAGTGTGTGGAGAAAGCCGTTCCTTCTTCCTCTCCCGGCTCCCAAACCGAGACAGCTCCTCTTAGGGTTCACTGGGGAGCATTGCTATGCTGCCTGACGGGTCAGTGCGTCTCCTCGGCAGTGAGCGTCCAGCATGCAGACGGGGTCTACCAGGCGACCCGGTCCTGTATCATGTCACCAAGTGAAACAGCAAACAGACCCTCCCTGAGAGGCCGGCAAAGTCCTGGCCTCAGGGCCCAGCTCTGCCATCCGTGGGTTGTGACACGTCCTCGAAACTCAGTACTAGCTTGGGCTTCCTCCCTGACACGTGGTGAGGCCGTGTTTTGACCAAAAGCACAGAAGAGGCGGGGTCACTGCTGGCTTCTGAGGCGTGTTTTGTTGTCTGTCCTTTGAAGAAGCGTTGACGAGGGGGGCGTGTTGCGGAGGGGTGCGCGTGCACCGGCGCACCCATGGGAGGTGGCTTGCGCTTGCTGTCGCCGCCGCCCGGAGCTGATGTGTGCGCCCTGCCTGCCCCCACAGTGCCAGATCATCTACCCGCGCCAGCAGCTGCTGACCCTCCGCGAGCTAGAGATGATCGGCTTCATCGAAAACAACGTGTCAAAGCTGAGCCTCCTCCTGAGTGAGATTTCAAGGTGTGGGGACCTGGCGTTGGTACCAGGAGCAGTCCCCTCGCTGTGGGGATGCAGCCGTAGATGACTGCAGCCGTCTGGGGTGGTGGTTGAGGGTCAGTCCCAAGTCATCGCACACAAGCTGGGGAGTCTCCTGACCCCCGGGGCCAGAGGACGGAGGTCAGTTGCCTTCCCAGAAATGCCACCAGATAACGGAAGAAAGGGCTACTCTTGTATCTGGAAAGAGACGTTCAAATTAAGGCTTCTTGGTGAATTAATGATTTCTTAAGAGTATTTGTTAAATTTTTATAAATTGGCAAGAAAACAAAAGGGAAGCTTTTGCTCCAATGAGCAAAGAAAGTCACTTCAGGGTCCTGTTTTCAGTGCAGCCCGGCTGCCCTGAGCCCCGAGAGAGACGCGTGGCGTGTCACCGTGGAGACTCGCTGGTGCCCGTGCTGTGGCCCGGGGCTGGTAGCACTTCCAGCATCTCAGATGGCTTTGGGGGCCAAGGCAAGGGGGAGGATGGTGCAGAGCCTCGAAGGGCAGTTAGATGGGATGAACGGGAGAGGGACCAGAAGGGCCGTGAAGCGGTGTGTGCAGGGCCTCGTGGGCAGGCAGGGGTCGCACCGCAGAGACAGATGGCACGGGGGGAGCAGGGGCTGAATGCGGGGGTCTTCTGCGTCTGACAGCAGCGTTTTGTGCTCTGAGCCATGTGGAGGGTTCTGAGTGGAGGGACAGCATGAAAAATGGTGTTTTTTAGTGACTTTTTGATGTCCATTAGGTTCAGAGGCTCATGCGGAAATCCACACACACGCAAAGCGGCCTGGCTGCGTGGGTCACTGTGCCACGGGCCGTGCAGCCGCTCCGCATGGCGGTGCCCTTGGGTGGCACATCCAGCAGCAGCTGAGGGCTGAGGGGGATCCGCCCAGCGGCGGGAGAAGGGGCGTGTGCGGTGGGGCAGGGCCTGACCCACAGGACTGTCGCTGACGACACTGACTTGTTCCCTTCGCAGGAAGAGTGAGGGCCTGAGCGGCCGCGTGCTGCGGAAGCTCCCCTTCCTGGCTCATGCACTGTACATCCAGGTGGGTCCCCCGGTGGCCTCGCTCGGGCCCCCCCTCCTGGGGGGTCGCACTCAGGGCCGTCGGGCGTGGCCTTATCTCCCCTCAGCTCCTCAAGGGACGGGCTCCTGGGGCAGAGGGGGGCGCAGGCCTGGTGCCTTAGTGTGGGGCCTCCAGCCCTCTGGGTAGAGGTGGCCGGCCTGTCCTTGCCCACACACACCTCATGTGGCGTCATGAGCTCACGGCCCAGCCTCGGGCGCCCGCGCCCCTCTGCTGTCTGCGCCGGGGGTGGGGTGGGTACCGCAGTGGCCCCCAGGGTGTGGGCCACCCCACGATGCCCGCGTGTCCTTGCAGGCCCCCACCGTCACCATCGAGGGCTTCCTGCAGGCTCTGTCTCTGGCGGTGGACAAGCAGTTCGAAGACAGGAAGAAGCTTTCGTCCCGCGTCTGATGTGGGCTCTGCCGCCCGCGGTGCCCGTGAGCCCAGCTGGGAGGCTGCTCGGCGGAGCCTCCACCGCATGACGGGCCTGCAGAGCCACGTGTCGCCGCGAGGCGTGTGCTGTGCCGCAAGCTTTAACACGCGTGTTAGAAGGCAGGTGGCCTGTCGCAGGTGGCTTGTTTTAAAGAGCAATAGTTCACATTCTGCTGTCTTTTTGTAAAGAACCGTCTAGGTGTGTTTATTTCATCCTGCCTCTGGTCGGTGGGACACAAAATGCTGACAATTTTGTTTGAAAGGAGGATTGCTAGAGCTTAGGGAAACAGCGGAGAAACTGCGTCCCGTAATGGTGTGATCGTGGTGTTATGAGTGTTCCCGTCACTCAGGGTCGAGTGGCTCCGCTGTCTGCTGTGGGCTCGCTCAGCGCGACGTTTCAGAAACCATCTAATGAAGAAAGAAAAGCTATTCCTGTGTCACAGAAGTTGAGAAAATTCTGGGGACAGCGTTTGCACCGTAGTCAGCCCCCTGGGACGGCGGGCCCTCGGCAGGCGGATGGCACAGGGCGCACCCTCCCGTTCCTCCCATGACGTTATCACGGCTCAGACCAAGGTTCACCTGAGCAGGTGTGAAAGCAATTGGCCAATATTGGTATATTCCATAGAACATGTTTATTTTTGTCTCACACTAAAATAAATTTCATATTAGTGTTTTATACACATTTTTTAAAGAATGTGTTACCTTTTATGTGACTTTAAGTATTAAATTTTTTCCAGAACGTTCTCAGTTTGTTTCTCTTGTCACTCGCAAATGCTTTGAATTTTAGTCAGAAATGGCTCACGTGGCTTTTAGCCTGTGTTACGCGTTGAGGGTGAGTACGGAAGGGGCCGCGCCCATTTGGGGGGCCCGCGCACACAGCCACGGGGCAGGGTTCCTGGGTCACCCAGAGGGTCCCCCCACTCCAGGCCCTGGCGTGGGCGGGTTTAGTCTCTGCCGACTGCTGTCCTTGCTCCTGCAGCTTCAGAACCAGATCCAGTGACTCCCGCCGTGGGGACCAGGACCTGGCTGCGGTCCCCTGAAGACCCTGAAGTGGGGGTGAAGGTGGCGTTTGTGGGTGCCAGGGCAGGAGGGGGCCCCTCCATGCCCCAGTTTCGGGGCTGGTGGGGACCGTGCAGCAACCTCATTTCACAGCTTTGCTTCTGAGGTGCGCCCTGTCCGGGTTCCCGGGTGGAAGGCAGGGCCTGGGGAGGAGAGGGGGGGACGCGGGGAGGGCGACAGCCAGGGAGGAGTCGGTGGGGGGGGCATGTTAGGTGCAGAAGGTCCGTCAGCTGCTCCCTATTACTGCCCGTGCTGCCTTCTGCTCGTGACTCTCGTGTCCTGGCCTCTTGAGTTAGATGCTTAGCTCGTGGCGACCCTTCTCGTCCAGTATAAGCCTCATAAATTTCGCTCCATACCCGCCCCACCGACGGGACCCGTGGTGCCCACCGCGAAGCCGCCACCCCCACGGAGGCTCCTCTGCCCCCAAGTTGTTTATACGTGTCTCAAGATTTTGGAAGTATTTCAAACAGTTATTTTTGCTATCTGTTTTGTTTCTTCCTCAAGTATCTGTAGGAATGCATGGATTTTTGAAAGTTCGGTTTTTGTAATCCATTATCGTTATTTCTGTTTTCCAAACGTCTCATGTAGCCAGTGGCAGCCATACAGAGATGGAGGAGGCTGGGGGGCACTGACCCCTGCTGGGAGGGAGGAGGGGAGGCACGGGGTTCAGTCATGGGGTGACGGGCCTGACCGCCGGTTCTAAGGACACCTTTGGCTGTGGCCCGAGCCGGGGGGGGGGAGGGTCCCGGACGGGCGGGGTGAGGGGGGCCGGGTCTGGGGGTGAGGGCATTGCTGAGGGCGTCTGCTGGTGTCCGGGCGGAGTGAGGGGAGGCCAGGACGTGTCCCCTGCGGGAGGCTGCTGCCGGTCCTGAGGTGACAGTCGTGGGGGACATGCAGTGGACTGCTGGAGTGGCACCCACAGCAGATGGCATGGGAGTGGCCGGAAATCCACATCTGGGGTCCCTGGGAAGGAGCCAGGGGTGTCGCTGGGGACACGGCACCCCTCCCTCTCCAGACCCACACCCGTCCTCCGTCGTCTCACGATGCGCTTCCCCCCTTTCCTGTTTCTGTTCCCCCGTGCGGCGCCTTCCTCGGGGTCACAGAGGCGACTCCGCCCTCGGTCTCCACCCCGGTCCCTCACGCTGCGGGTCTGAGAGTTCTCGTTCCGGGATCAGCACGCGTGTGCGGTGCATTTCTTTGACCCTAGCTTTTCCCTGAGGGGGCAGCGAACTGTAAAGCGTGCCCTTTGTCGCTTCTCTCCCTTGCGTGTCTCTCGCAGCTTTTTCCCTGCGTTTGTCTCTTTTTTATTTTGAAGTTTCCTCCAGAAATGTTTTCATTGTGGGTTTTGTTGGCAAATGTTTTGAAACCTCATGAGAATGTTTGTATTGTCCCCTCAAAACAGTCTGTTCTTTCAGCCCTTGCGTGTTATACCTACTACCCCTCTGCTGTTCTTGCGGGATTTTTCCCCACACTGCTGATTTCTTCCTTCGTCTTTGTAGGGATATTTGTCAGACTTATTTCGAGTAACTTGTCTGTCTGTCCTGACGCTTCTGCTCCGGCTGTTTGAGCTTTTTCCTTTTTGTGAATTTTAAACTTGGGAGTTTCGTTCCCTTGACGCCGAGCTCACCTTCCCCTGGAAGTGAGTTAAACGGTTTCTGGAAGAAATTCTTGGCCCCAAACCCCTGTGTCCGTACACGGTGTCCAGATGCAGTCACAGTCCCCAGGCAAACCAAGGACCAGATGGCCAGACACTGAGACAAAAGGACAAGACAAACAGAATCAAACGCGATCACATATTGAACTTACCGGGTATGGATTTTAAACTAACTGTTGTTGATAAGGACACAGCAATATGACGAGATGGCCAGTTTCACGGGAGAACTAAAATACTCTTTTTGAAAATCAAGTGGAAATATTAGAACCAAAAGCTACGTTAGCTGATATTAAGTACTCGAAAGGTGGATTCAGCAACCGGGTCACTGAAGTGGAAGAAAGGGCAGTGGAAAAAGTCAAGGGCCAAGTGAAGAAAGCTGAAAGGATTAACGTAGAAAAGAGCATGACAGCCCGTCCTGTGTGGGCGTCGGAGCCGCAACATGCACGGGGTGGGGTCCTCGAAGGAGAAAGTGAGGAAGAAGAAATAACGGGAGAAACGCGGGCCAAGAAGTTTCCCACATCAGTGACGGGCATCAAAGCGCGTGTGTGTGGAGCTCCGCAAACGTGAAGTGGGACACGGGACCGCCGGCCACACCGCCGGCCACACCGCCGCCAGACTCAGAATGGAGCCCAGGGGGAAGCTGCGGGCAAGCACCGACCGCCGGCTCCGCACGAGGACCGCGGCCGCCGTAACGTGCTGCCTGATGCAGTTTAAGTCCTGGAAAAAATAACAGCTCCCCTAGAGTTCTACGTCCAGTTAAATACTTTTTGAGAATAAACACAAAGTTGAGATATATTCAAATGAACGAAAATTGGAAAAGCACGTCGGCAGCAATCTAAACGAAAATAAACGATACAGGAAAATTCTCAGGCAGAAGGGAAGTTATTTTCCCACCCCAAATCTTTTTTTTTTTTTTTTTTTTTTTTGAAAAACAAGAAAACAGAGGAAACTGGTAAACGACAGGCAGCGTGAATGCACGGGGAAGCCCAAGTGGCTATGACTGAATGCAGCAATAACAGTACTATCTTGTAGAATTTAAATATACGTAAAATTAGGATACCAAACGGTAGCACGAAGGCCAGGGTAGGTAAATGCGATGAAAAGACCATAACGTGCTTGCGTCATCCAGAACCAAAAGTGCCAGCTCTACGACCGAGGACGCATGTGGGAAACCATTAAAAGATGAATAAAAATCGAATATGAGGAAAATAAGGAGAAAAATTGGACTAGTCAGAAAATGTCAGAGAAGGATAAAAAAGCATCAGAGGACACATTACACAGCAGACTAATGTAAATTGAAACATAAATGTAGCCTCGGTTATGCTAAAATAACGTAATCGTTATTACCTTCCGTCATTAAGTGACATTAATGTTCTAATTCAAAGGCGGAGAGCGCCGGGCTGCATCACAAAAATGCAAAGCAAACTTCGTTGGTTCAGGGGACGCGTAAATGCGAGTGCACCGACACGGAAAGGCGGGAGATGGCACGCCGCGCCGACGGAACGAAAGTCAGGAGAAGCAGTGAAGATTCGCAAAGCGTGGTGAAGATTCGACCTGCCTGCCGAGCCCAGACCTGCATCCGAGAGGTGGCTGCAGCGACGCTTTCTCCAAGTGTACGAGGCTCGTCAACCCGAAGCATGACCTGCGGGGCCAGTGGAGCCGCGGCCGGTTGTGTCGAGACAGCTCCAGCGGCACCAGACAGCATCGCGGGATGTGCACGTGTCTTGCCTTCTACCAGCGTGAGGCTTAGTGAGGCACGGAGGCCAGTGTGTCACACGCAGAGCAGTGACGCCCAGGAGGCCGGAGTCCACTGCCGGCCCGCTGCCCCACGGGTCACTTGCTCCCCGTTCTCCTGCAGGCGCTGCCCAGCGGGAACCCCAAGGAGGGACCTTTCCAGGACGACCTGTGTCTTCGAGGGTAAGTCCTGCTCCCCAAACTTCACAGACTACCCTGTACCCCACGACCAAAACTGGTCCTCAGGACACCCGGACAAGCTGAGCCGATGCCAGGAAGGCCGGTGCTCCAGGCCCTTAACTTCTCCATGAAACCAGGGGCAGCCCCCTCCCCCCGTGTCCTCCCAGGGCCCCTGCCGGCCAGATGAGGCAGACGCAGGAGGCACCTGGCTGCGGCTAGCCTAGGCGAGGGACGCGGGCATACCTGGCCACGACTAGCCCAGGCAAAGGCCACGTGCACACCTGGCCACTAGTCCAGGCGAGGGCCGTGGGCACACCTGGCTGTGGGTAGCCCAGGCAAGGGCCACGGGCACACCTGGCGTGTCTAGCCCAGGCAAAGGCCGCGGGCACACCTGGCGTGTCTAGCCCAGGCGAGGGCCACGGGCACACCTGATTGTGGGTAGCCCAAGCGAGGGATGCAGGCACACCTGGCATGTCTAGCTCAGGTGAGGGCCACAGGCACACCTGGCCACGGCTAGCCCAGGTGAGGGACGCCCTGCTCTCTGCACAGGTCCCTTGATGCCTCCTTGTTCTGAAGTGAGAGCTCAGCACACGCCCTCCTGGAGAGGGTCAGAGGCCCCCCTGGGAGCACATTCCCGCATCCCCGCTGCCCCAGTCACCTGCCTGGGCTGGGCCAGGGGAAGCGACCCTCCTCACGCCTTCTCGGCCCCCCAGTGGTTCTCCCGAGAAGGCTGAGGGCGTGAGGGCCCAGGACAGCTCGTCAGAGTGGACGGCGGAGACGGAGCAGCAAGCCGTGAGGGCCCGCGAGGCCTGGGCAAGCAGCGCCTGGACTCCGACGTGGGCGTCTGCTCTGCCTCGTGGCGGCCGGGACGGGCACACGGCGCAGCTGGCGGGAGGAGGGCGGCAAAGCTCGCACGTGCTTCAAACGTCGCAGGCTCCGGGGCGGAGGGCAGCTCCGGGAATGCAGCCCGAAAAGGCCAGTGACGTGGCTCCAGACCCTCTGGGGCTGTCCCGGGGTGGTGCCAGCACTGTGGGGATGGCACGAGGTCCACCACTGGTCTCCCGGCTGCCCAGGGCAGGAGCGTGCGGGAGCAGAGGAGGGGCCCGTGTCCCTGAGGGGTGGGGGAGGCCCAGTGTCCCAGCGCAGGGTGATGACCTGCCCGCCTGTCTCCGCGTGCCCTGCGGGCGCTTTGGTGCAACCTCTCGGTGGGGGACACATCCGCCAGGAGTGGACCTTCGCGCTCTGCGTCTTCGACAGCGGTGGGGAGGCCTCTGGGAGGTGATGCGCTTGTGTCTGAGGCAGACAGTCCACGGGGCCGGGGCTGGCCACAGACAGATGCTGTCTCCTCGGGCCCCTCAGCGGGCGGTGACGGTCCCGGGAGTGTCCCCGGCACGCTCCTCTGCTGGCCCGCGTGTCCCCATGGTGCCCTGCCCCTCACAAGGAAGCGGACACGCGACCCAGCGAGCGTCTTCGGGCTACAGAGCAGAACTTCCGTGGTCGTCCGGCCGCCAAGTCTTTCGAAAGCGGATGCAGCCCCAGCGACAGCAGAGCCACGACACAGGCGCCTGGGTGCGCGGGCTCAGGCGGGCGACGGGCCGCTCCGCGAGGCCGGGCCCGTGGGATGCCACGTGGCAAACAGGTGACATCGATGTCCTCAGGACACGTCCAGCCTGCCTCACGCCATCCACGAAGTTGCCGGCGCCTCGGGCAGCCACTCCCTCAGCAAGACCCTCCGCATGAGGCTGACCGTGAGCCCGCGCCCTCCAGCAGGAGCGGGGAGGGGCCGCCCGCAGGCCAGAGCGAGGGCCCGGGCGCTCACCCAGATGCCCCGAGGATCCCGCTCAGAGGCAGCCCTCCCCGTCCCTGCAGCCGCTGCCCCACCCTGCGTGTTCCCGTGGCCCTCACCTCCCACGCACCAGGCCCCGGCGTTACCGTGAATGTGTCCCCACCCCACCCCCCAGGGCAGAATCTGTTCCCTGAATATGGCGCCTGCAGGGCTCAGAGGTGTCTGTTCCATGGGTGAGCGAGTGAACTAACGAATGGGTGAGTAAATGAATGAATGGGTACCTGAGTGAATGCACATCTGCCTTTTAGACCTCGAGCCGTCTGCTGCAGGACGGAGGGCGAGGTCACTGAGGGCCCTGCTGTCTGACAGGCGCTGTCCGCTCATGTCAGGTGAGGGGCTGGGGTCAGGCTCCACGCCCCCCAGCAGACCTCGGTGGGCAGGGTGCGTCCTGCGGCCGGTGCTCCAGCGGGGCTGAGCCCCAAGCTTGCCTAGGACAGGTGAGGCTGCACGGGGAGGCAGCCCTCGGCCTTCAGTCTGGCACCCTGTGGTCCACTCACTGACTGGTGGTGACAGGCAGTGGCCTAAGAGGTCTCAGAGCAGTGACTCGCTCTACCTCCAGCCCAACTGGGCGTCATAGGTGAACCAGAAGACGGGCCCTGGGGGTCCCGGAGGAAATTTGCAGCCGTGGCCCTGGGGCCGTGATGCAGACCTTGCTGTCCTGGACGCCCGCCCCTTCCGATGCCCCTTGTGGGAGGAGGATGCTGATCAGAGCCCCTGCCTGCTGCACCCGACCTCTCCGAGGAACGCTGCCCCCTCGGGCAGTGGCAAGAGAGGTCGGCCCCCTGCCTGTGCCCCACGCGGGGGTCCAGCACTGACTCCCACCCCTGCGCCGGACGAAAACACCGAGCAGAGAAACCACTAGCTGGACCTGGCCAAGACTGAGAACTACACGTCTGAGTTCGGACCTGCCGCCCGGACCAAGGCCCCTGGTGTGGCCCCCCTCGGAGCACGGGCCGGGCCCACAGGTTCCGGGCCCCTGGGACCCCGAGCTGCAGCGCCACGTCCAGGTGTGTGGGGGGAGGTGCCAGGTGAGGCGAGATGTCCGGGCCCTGCAGAGGACCTCACCATGTGCCCGTCAGCAGGGTCCCCGCTGGCTCGGCCAAGCCCTCGCACCCCCGAGCAGCCAGACGCTCGCATGGTGCACAGCCACAGGTCCCGGGGGCTGGCTGACCACGCCCTGCTGGACAGCAGCTCTGGCTGCAGGGGCAGGAAGGGCAGCTCCTCAGGTCCCCAGAGGGCTTGGGCAGGCCGCCTGGGGGGCCCGGGAGAGCCTGCTGCCACTTCCCGCCGGCCGCCCGCCCCCGCACCCCAGGACAGTCACCACCTCCTGCAGCCCCTGCCGCA